TATTTAGTTTTTGTTTAGTGCTATATATATATATATATATATATATATATATATATATATATATATAAATATAAAATCTGCAACAATATTGTGTATAGTCAAGTTCTTGTTAGCCATTACAGTATAACTTAGGATTTAAAAAAAATTCTTAGTCTTGAAGGAGACCCTCAGTTGTGAAAATTTTAGCACCACAAAAATCTGGTTCTATTCCTGGTAACTGACATTGTAGAATGGGAGAAATCAGAACCTTGTGGTAGGGCAGGAAGGAAGCCCACCATAAGGAAACTGATGTGTGCTGCAGTCTTTTCAGGAGACTCAGGGATTGGGAGTTCCTTTATGGGCATGGGTCTCTGGGTGAGCTCAGAACAGGGACCGGTTGAAAATCTGAGGAGCAGGTCCTTTCTTTACCATAGGAGCAAGTAGCTGCTATACATCTCCATCAGAAGAGTGTGGGCTTGTTCTTTAGAGAGGCTAAACAACACAGGCTTTGGGCTTGGGCTTACCAATACAGCCATAGCTGAGGGTGGAGGTAAGATTCCATACATACATTCAAAACAGGATTAAATAAAATCAGTGTACTGAATGATGACTCCCTTCCCCCACTTCCTCTGTTCTGCTACCAGGATGTGGACAGGTAAGAGGTTGGAGGTGTCTTCTCCAGGGTAAACCGACCTCCTGAAGGGAGAGGCCTACAGATCATCGACCAGCTACCTTGTCAGCTTGTGGTGAAGCCCACTGGTAGTTAAGCCTTAATACAAATAGAGATCTTGTCTGTTTTTGTTTCCTTCCTCTTAAATATAAAAGGACAGCCAAAAGTCTCTAAATATGTTTATAAATTCCAGTTTTTCAAGGGACTAGTGTGCAGTTCTGAAGACCTTGATTATCTATATAGGAACCACTGCTTTTGATGCGTGTGGGGCTATGCTTCTTGCTGTGCCTTTTGCTTCTTGTTCTGGTGGAGCACTGAACCAGAGGGAAAGCATCCAGCGTAATTTGTGTTATCCTGGCCTTGGATCACTGAGTGCCCACGAGATTCTCACAAAGAATGAAAGTTAATGAGTGCCCATATCTGAAGTATGTTCCTTGTGGTTTGTTGACAGTTCTTGAATATGTAGGCAAATATAGGGGAAATCAAAGGATTTATGTAGGTTTTCTTTATGTAGTCTGACTTGTTATTTATGATTTAAAAATTCTTTTTTATTAGTATAAAACACTTCTCCATTCTATTCCAGTGATAAATGCTGCTCATTCTTTCTACAATGGAACAACAACGCTACCAATATCAGATGAAGACAGGACTCCACGAAAAAGAATTAGCAAAACATTAAATATGACTACAAGTCCTGAGGAGAAAAGAAAAATCATTGGGGATACTTTTGTTAAGGTACCTTTCATTTTATTATCTTCATCATGTGCTTTTATTTTGTTTACGGTTTTTGCCATGGGGCACATGTAGTTACTGGAGAGAGAGAGAGAGAGACTGCGAGAGGGAAAGTGAGAAATCATCCCCCACAGGCATTGTCTGCCTGCAGTCTCTTTTCCTCCATTGTTCTCTAGGGCTTTTGGGCCCACTTGCACACATACCCACTGTGATTTTCAGGTTGCCAGTTCTGAAACTTGAACCATGGTTGGCCATGTGGGAGTCCAGCACCTTAACTGCTATGCCGCCTGCTGGTCCCAGCATGTGCTATTTTCAGTGTGTTTTGTTCGAATTATATTCAGCTATCAATTCTTCCAATTTTGATTGTTTTGTTCTTTTGTGATAAAGAGCTTTACTATATATTGTTGTTACACAGGCCAGTAGAGGCTGTTTTTTGTTTTTGCTTTTTTTAAAGAGGTTTTTGCCTTAGGGTGTGTGTATTCATCATAGAGAGAGACAGTGAAAGGGAAGGTGAGGAACACCCCCCCCCCCTTGGGGACTGTCACGTTACAATACCTTCTCTTTTATTCTCCTCCCAGGGTCTTGGGCATGCACACAAATGCGCCTGGTGTGTTTCAAGCCTCCAGGTCTGGGATTTGAACTGTGGTTGGCCATGTGGGAGTTCACCAATGTAACCACTACACCATCTGCTGGCCTGAGACTGTTTTATGTTTTCTAAAATGTATTGGGTTGTTGAAAAAGTCATGATGCATTTTTCTATAGAAAAACAGAAAAAATACATCATGACTTTTCTGATGACCCAGTATATACACATCTTGCCAGGCTATGATTTCAAGTGTTAGAACAGATGTTTTCAGTTGATACTGGACTTTAATTCACTGGATATCTCAATAGCTAGATAGCAAGATCTTGAAGGAAATGTTTATGTACTTTTTTTGAATCATGTTGAAAGTATTGGGTTGTTGGAAATGTCATGATACATTTTAGCTTGTTTTTCTATGCAAAAATGCATCATGACTTTTTCAGTGATCTAGTACATTTCGAGGAGTTTACTTGTGGGATTAATGGATTTTATTTCCTGGTCTGTAGTATACAAAGACTCTGAAAAATTTAGGTTAAAGTATAAATTCTATTTTTTTTAAAAAAAGATTCATCTCTCATAAGGCGTTTTTACTGCTGTCGGTTATAGATTGCCAATGAAGTAATTGGAGAAATGAACCTGAAACCAGAAGAGGTTTTCCTTGCCCAAGGTACATTACGGCCTGATCTAATTGAAAGCGCTTCCCTTGTTGCAAGTGGCAAAGCTGACCTCATCAAAACGCATCACAATGACACAGAGCTTATCAGAAAGTTGAGAGAAGAGGTAAAAGCTTATAGAGAACTTTTCTAGAAAATAGATACCTGGAGAATCTCCCTCCCTGCCTTTCTCCTTTTCTTCTCTCAGTACTTACAGGGTTGTACAGCCATCACCACGACTTCCTTTTAGAACATTTTTATTACTTCCCTGTCCGCCCCCTCCACCCTAGGAACCTCAGGCTTGTTAGCAGTCACCCCTCATTTTAATATCTATACCTCACCACCCCTTCTACCAGCCCTAGACAACCACTAATTACTACTTCTCTGTACATTTGCCTATTCTGGACATTTCATATAGATGGAACCATACAGTGTGTGGTCTTTTTTGACCAGCTTTTATTTGCCATAATGTTTTCAAGGTACATCCATGTTGCTACATGTATCAGAACTTTGGTTTTTATTGCCAGATAATATTCTATTGCATTGCTACACCACCTGTTATTTATCCATTTATTGCTTTGGGGGCAGTTGGATTGTTTCCATATTGTGGCTGTTACAGGTGGTAGTCTCGTGAACACTGGTGGTGAGTTTTTTTTCTTTTTTGTGGAGATTTTTGCCTTAGGGCACATATATTTGCTGGAGAGAGAAACATACGCATAGAGACAGTGAAAGGGAAAGTAAGAAATCACCTCCCCATGTGGATGGCCATGCTGTAGTCCCTTGTTCATTCACCTCCTCGAATCTTGGGCATACACGCCCGGTGTGATTTTCAGGCCCCCGGGACCAGGACTCAGACCATGGTTGGCCATGTGGGAGTCCAGGGACATAACTGCTGGGCCATCTTCTGGTCCCTGGTCACAACTTTTGCAGTGTGTTTCCTGCAGTTGGTCACGTGGGATCCATTTGCCTTAACTACCACACTGCTGGGTAGCCCTTTTAAAAAATGTTTTCTAGGAAACCTCCATACTGTTTTGCCATAGCAGTTGCATCATTTTTATATTTCAAACAGAGGAACAAGGGTTCTCATTTCTCCACATTTTTTACCACATTTATTTTCCATTTTTTGCATAGTAGCCATCCTAATGGGTGTAAATTATCATTTATTTATTTTTAGGTTTTTAACATAAGACATTTTCACTCACCAGAGAGAGACAGAGAGACTGAGAGGGAAAGTGAGCAATCACCCCCTAGAGGGATGGCCATACTACAGTCCCTTTTCCTCCATTCTCTTCTTAGAATTCTGGGCATGTATGCACTTGTGCCTGGTGTGATTTTCAAGCCACCGGGTGTAAGACTTGAACTGTGTTCCACCATGTGGGACTCCAGCACCTTAACCATGATGCCACCTGATGGCCCCACTTAGCTATCTTTTTTTGCTTTCAGTCCTTATCCTGAGTGGATGTGAAGTAGATGATCTCTTGTTTTGATTTGCATTTTCCTGACAGCTAATGATGTTAAGCATCCCTCTTTTCATGTGCTTATTGACTGTTGCTGTATCTTGGAGAAGTGTTCTATTTATACCCTTTGCTTTTTTTTTTTTTTTTTTTTTTACTTTATCATCAACAGATAATAACCCATTTCTGTATCCCCAAAACAACTTGCCTCTCTATTTTCCTCAGTTTCTTCCCTTATACTCTCCCTCTTCGCTCACACCCTTCCCACATTGTCTCCAGAATCTATAACCATTTTCAATGCTTCTGTCTCCCCTAATCTCTCAGTATCCACCATAGAGTGCGGGCAGTCGGTTGTATGTTAAGTGGAGACATACTGTGTCTCCTTCATAGCCTGACTGGCTTCACTCAGGAGTAAATCTTCCATGTTTATCCACTTTCTGTCAAATGCCAGGATCTTGGGGGTTTTTTTAGGGCTGAGTAGTATTCTGAAGAGTATATGTGTCATACTTTTCCAATCCGTTCATCTGTTCCTGGACACTTGGGTTGGTTCCATGTCTTAGTGATTGTGAATAATGCTGCAATAAACATAGATGTGCAAGCATTTTTCTGACTGAGCATTCTCCTATCCTTTGGATAGATACCCAGGAGTGAAATTGTTGGATCATATGGTAGTTCTACTTGTAGATCTTTGAGGAACTGCCATATTGTTCTCCACAGTGGCTGGACCAGTTTGCATTCCCACCAGTAGTGTAGGAGGGTTCTCCTTAGATCACATCTCCACCAGCATTTATCATTAATTGTTTTTTTTTAATCTTCACCATTCTGACTGGGGTTAGGTGGTATCTCATTGTGGTTCTGCCTGACTACTTAATGAGAATTGTTGTATATCACTGTTGATGGTTTACTTTACCCTGATTGGTTTATGTTTAAAATGTGTTAGAAAGAAAAATAAGAATACCATTATATTCATCTCATTCTTTATGAACATGTATGAACATGTAAGAAGGAGTTCTTAATTGAAAACAAATTTTCAATCTAAGGAAAATGACAACTGGAAAAGCCAGTAATTACACTTTGTCTTCCGTGTCATTTTGTTTATAATTTGTGTTGATTATCTTCCTCCCTCTAGGGAAAAGTAATAGAACCTCTGAAAGATTTTCATAAAGATGAAGTGAGAATTTTAGGCAGAGAACTTGGACTTCCAGAAGAGTTAGTTTCCAGACATCCATTTCCAGGTACAAAAAAAAATAGAATTTTTTGTTTTATTTCTTTTTAGACCTTCATGTTCTCAGACAGTTCTGAAATAATTAGTCATTTCAGGGACTCTATAATGTAAGTGAAAGAAAAGTGATAGAGAATAAATAAATTCTCTTAAGTATCTATTATATTAACTTCATTTCGTGAAATACTCATTTTTCAGGACCAGCGGATGACAATGGTTATGTTGCTGGTTATATTACAGTCCAGGTAGTGGACTGTGGTACGAGTCCCAGACCCAGTGACTTGAAACTCACGCTGGCACATGTGTATGCAAACCCAAGATCCCAACAGGAGAGTGGAGGAGAAGGGATTGTAGCATGGCCATCCCCCCGGGGGTAATTTTGTATTTTCTGTCTCTCTGGCAAGTGCATGTACCCTATAGCAAAAGTCTCAAAAAAACAAAAACAAAAACAACTTATTTTTCATTATATTTGATTTTCTATATGTCATGACTCCTGTGAGGCTGGCGTGCCATTTTGCCATCACATGACAAAACTAATCATAAGAGACCCCCCCCCCCTTTTTTTTTTGAGAGATTTTTGCTATGGCACACATGTGATTACTGGAGAGAGAGACAGAAAGCTAGAAATCTCCCCCTGGGGAGAATGGCCACACTGCAGTTCCTTCTCCTTTGTCCTCTCGGGATTTTGGACAGACACGCACAAGCACCTGGCATGAGTTGCAAGCTGCCAGCTCTGAGACTCGAACCATGATTGACTACATGGGAGTCCAGTGATGTAACCATTACACCATCTGCTGGTTCCTGTTTTTGTTTTGAACAGTATATATTTTTCTAAAAATTATATTGATAGTTGAAGCTGAATGACTAATGTGGTCCTTTATACAGGTACTCCTCACTTTATGATGGAATTCTTTTTCTAGACTAGGTTGTTAAGCAAAGTAGTCCGTAAATGAGCTTAAAGGTGAATGTCTTGTGGCATGTTGTGGTGTAGGATGTGTATTTTTCAATAGATGTCATGTAACACCACACTAGAATAATGTAATTCTATCCATACAAAAAGTATGTATTCGATAAGCACCAGAAAGCGGCAAGACATACCATACAATATAAATCCAGTGTAATCATATTTATGTATTCTGACTACTATGGTTGCATACTAAAGTACAAATCTGTAAATGAAATATGTAGTATTATGTGATTGAGAATGCTTCATGTAGTGAGTACTAACTGACTGTGGGAACAGACAAAGACTGAGAAAGTACCTTCCGGAGACTCACACAGACTGAGAAAGATGGTTGTAGGCTGGAGGACAAATGGTTGTAAGTCTGAGTGGTTGTTAAACAGGCTGTTAAACAAGGGGTGAATGTACTGTCCTCTTGTGTGTGTTAGAAAATTCCAGTAATTAAAATTTTTAAATAGATAGTGAATTAAAAAATAACTACTGGGGAATTTTATGGCAGTACACGTACTATATAGAAAGAGGAGAAAGAAGCCATTGATATGGAGAGAATTGAAGTGTTCTAAAAAATGATGAGTTGGATAAGAAACTAATATCTACATTTAAAATTACTTTAAAAAACTTCTGATTGCAGATGGATTTTAATTTTGGAAGGATTTTATATTTTGGAAATAATGGCATTTTTATATTAAATATAAAATTGATACCAAATTCTTTTGTTACTCTTGTTTTTTAAGGTCCTGGCTTGGCGATTAGAGTAATATGTGCTGAAGAACCTTACATTTGTAAGGACTTTCCTGAAACCAATAATATTTTAAAAATAGTAGCTGATTTTTCTGCAAGTGTTAAGAAGGTAATCATTTGACATAACTAATCATTACAAAGAATTGAATGGACTTTTTGTTGTGCTTCAGTATTTACAATGACTTAATTAGGATTTCCTCATTTGAAAACTCAGAATAATGCAACGTTTGAAATGACTGTGAACTAAGTAATCAACAAAGATTTCGAGATGTAGAATCCTAGAGTTCCAGCCATATAAAACTAGATGTCCTGAATCCCTAAAAATGTTAACGTGTTTTAAAACAGTTTTTCAAATGTTTTACAAGAAAGTTAATGGAAATCCTTTGAGTAGAGCAGTCTGCTTCTCTGAGGACAGCCACCTCTCTCGTGTGGTGAAGTGTTTTGGGTTTAACAGTTCATTCATGCACAGGTCTGAATGTGAGATATCGGATTCATGAAAGGCAGGGAATTGAACAGAGATCTTTCACTGAGGCACACTTTAGCTCTGTGTTAAAGATGAATGGGAAATCTCCCTGTTCTGCAGGCCTGGATGCTTAATTCATAATTTGTTGTCTAGTCTGCAGACTGCAATCTAAGAATTTAAATGGAAAGTGTACCTAGATGTGTAGTGTTTTCAGTAGTCAGGCAAGAAGCAAAGTACATTGTCTTTGGAAAATCTTAAGTTGGGCCCCAAGGAGGTCCCATAGATGGAGTTTAGTATAAATAGTAAATCTGAAAAGCATTACCTGTTCATAAGAGACATTACCAATACCTAGGAATAGGAGGGATGAAAGTAAGAGTGGGAACATATATATAAGGCAAATAAACCAAAAAAAAAAAAAGAAGTGGGTGGGGCTATATTAATTTCAGACAAAAATGACTTTACTGCCAAAAGTATTAGAGATGATAAGGTTTGACTCAGGCAAAGTGCTGCTTGCTTGGTGATGGTGAATTAAAGCCTTGGTGTATGTAAATCTAGTCTGTATCTCTCATTCTGAGATTTCACTTCTACATAGCCCTGACCCTTAGGAACGAGTTTCTGATATGACGTGCAGCGTGTGTGAGCCAGGGAGTCGCCCAGGGTGATACACTGCTATGAACCGCAGTGTAGATAGCTGAGATAGTAGTAGATCCTAAAGAGTGCATACCTTCTTTCTTGAAACGAAAAAAATGTCTTTTTGGTTTTCTCAGCCACATACACTATTACAAAGAGTCAAAGCCTGTACAACAGACGAGGATCAAGAAAAGCTGATGCAAATTACGAGCCTGCATTCACTGAATGCCTTCTTGCTGCCAATTAAAACTGTAGGTGTGCAGGTGAGTTGTGTGAATTCATCGACCTGTGGTTTAGCTCTCTGCAGTTTGCTCTTTCCGTTAATAATGACGTAGGAATTACTTAGGAAAATGAAATATGAAAAAATATACACCAAGTTTAGAAAAATGAGAAGACTTTATGGAGTGAATAAGGTATAGGAATTAAATATTCAGGCTTCAATTTTGTAGTTTTGGAACATTAGTCAACTCTAACCCAAAGTGATAATGGAAAGAACGATTTGCTATATGGTCAACCTGCTTATTTCTGCCTTCAGGGGCAGGTACCAAGAGATGGTGTCTTCACGTGTCCTTCCAGGTGTGAATAGTCTGTGGTTGTGTCTTCACGAGTCCCTCTAGGTGTAAATAGTTTGTGGTCACATCTTCATGTATCCTAGGTGTAAATAGTCTGTGTCTTCAGATGTCTTTAACTGCTAGAAGACCCCCAGGTGAATATGCCCCACTACTTAGGACTTTTTCTTAGCCTGTGTGTCCCTGTGCCAGTGTTCTCTGCCTCTGAAGCATGTTCTCTGTCTCCCTTGACTGTGATGACTTATCTGATGTTTTTTGTATTATTCTGGCTTTCTAATTGTAAGAGCGTGTGAGAATAATAGAGTTCTTAATTTTAAAAAGTCATTTCTTTCTTCTTCTTTTTTTTTTTTTAAAGAGGTTTTTGCCATGGGACGCTTGCAGTTGTCAGAGAGAGAGAGAGAGGAACAGTGAGAGAGAAGGTGAGAAGTCACCCCCCAGGGGTGATGGCCATGTCACAATCCCTTCTCCTCCTGGGATTTTGAGCACACATGCACATGTGCCTGGTATGATTTTGAAGCCACCAGATCCAGGACTTGAACTGTGATCGGCCATCTGGGAGTCCAGTGATGTAACCAATATGCCATGTGCTGGCACCTAAAATATCATTTCTAAAATTGTTACATTAAATTCTCCTTTATATGATCCTTAAATTGAGTTTCTGGGAGAAAAGCTTAAGGAGTATAGGGGAGAGAGGATTCTTCTAAGGGTTCGTGGTTAAATGAAAACAAGGAAAGATATCTAATTCAATTCAAAATGGTATGAGTGCCAATTACTGGGTTAATGTACTTAATAACGTTCTCTTATAGTAGCATTATATGTGGAAAGATATTAACTGTACTGTTTTTAAGATTATTCATCTAAAACTTAGTAAGCTTAGTCTGCTGTTATGTTGCTAACAGAAATACCCAAGATGGACTGATTTATAAAGAATAATGGTTTATTTGACTCACGATTCTGATGACTGGAAAGTCCAAGGGCTGGGGGTTGGCATCAGGTTGGCCTGTGTCACAGTGTCACTGACAGAGCAGAGAGAGTGGCAAGTAAATGGAGAGGAAAGATTTGGGGGCACCATCTTCCTTTCATAACAACTTGCTGTCATAGGAACTGACCCCCTTTCAGAAGAGCTAGAACCCATTCCGTTTTGTAAAACGGTATTAATTAGTTTATGGAAACGATAGAACCAGCTAGTTTGGTTACAGAACACTTGTCTTCTGTTCCCTTTTCTTTTCAAAAGCTGCATGTAAAGCTACTTATGTTGTCCTTAAATCACTTTTGAAATACCTCTCTTGGAATTTTGGAGATAATTTTCTTTCAGTGGTTTATGGAATATCTCAGATATCATACACAGATTAATTTTGAGAGTTGTTATATTTATAGGCAAATATTACCCTATAATACAAAAATAAAAGTGTAGGCAGTTTGTTTATTTTTTCTTAGAGGGTTGGGGAGAGAGAGGTATTTTTGACTGGATTTGGCCATTTGTTGGTCTTCCTGTTACAGCCTCCTGTTAGCTAGGTGGGACCTTAGTCGTGTGCCACCATGCCTGGCCTCTTTGGGTTAGGCTGGGAACAGAACCCAGGTCTCACTTGAACTCTCAGCTGCCCTGCTACAGTGCCTTCCCACTTGTATCACTGTAGTTGTACCATCTATTAAAAAAATTATTATTTAAAAATTTTTTATTTAATTTAATTATTTAATTTTTATTTATTTCAAAAATTAATTATTTAAAAAATTAAACTAAATGAAAATAATTGATTCTAACACAAGCTTTTCAGACATAAATAAAAACACTATACTTTTACAACTCAGGAAGTTTGAGAACTCTCTTCCCGTCAAACTGAATTTATTCAGAGTGGCCAGTTTTTTATGCCTGCCTTGGGTGAACATGGGCATGTGTCTTGAATGTCTGTGAAACATCAGACTGAGTATTTCATACATTTCTAGGAACCAGGGTTGGCAGACTGTGACCTGTGGGTCAAATCTAGTTTGTAGGCTGTTTTTTGTATATCCTGGAGCCAAGATTGGATCACTGGGATGTGCTGAAGAAGAAATTAGTATGATGCTTTCTCTATGTCTGAACTGAATTTAATACAGGATTTTGATTTTGAGATTTATTCATATCATTAGAGAAGCATACATTTTATTCAAACAACTTATTTTTGTTTAAAAAATTACCGGTAACAGCATCACCATGCATAAAATTGTTTCCAGACCCATCTTTTGATTTCTATAAAAATATTAAAAATTACTGATTGTATTTTCAATTTCAGGGTGACTGTCGTTCCTATAGCTATGTGTGTGGAATCTCCAGTAAAGATGAACCTGACTGGGAATCTCTTATTTTCCTGGCTAGGCTTATACCTCGCATGTGTCACAACATTAACAGGTATGTTGTGCAGTAGGCAGCGGGGAGGGGTGGTGAGGTGTAATGAAGAATGGTTTTTCAACTTCTTTTTTAAAAATTGCCAGAGGTGGGCACATACCCTTGCCAGAGAGAGAGGGGTGGGGGAGAGAGGGGGGGATGCATCCCAATGAGGCATGTTTATGTAGCAATCTCTTTTCCTCCATTTCTCCATTTAATCAGGATTTGGCATACATGCACACACATATGTGATTTTTCAAGCCTCTGGGGCCAGGATTCAAACTGTAGTTAGTCATGTGAGATCCAGTTCCCTTGACCATCAGGCTTTAAGGGGATGGCCTATAGAAATGTGTTTCTTATTTTTATTTTTATATTGATTGATTGGTTGGAGAGGTTTTTCCTATAGGGCATGTGTGCTCACCAGAAAGACAGAGAGAGACAGAGAGACAGAAAATGAGAAATCAGTCCCTTCTCCATTCTCCTCGGGATCTTAGGCATGCAGGCACACGGGTCTGGTGTGAGTTTAAGCCACCGGGTCTAAGACTCGAACTGTGGTGACCACATGGTAGTCCAGTGACATTGCCATTATGCCAACTACTGGCCCCAGGAATGTGTTTTTTTTTTTTTTTTAAGATATCTTATCATTAGTAAAAGACTAAAAATTTATTCCAGAGACTGGAAGTGTGAAATAAAGGTGCTGGTGGAGCCATGCTTTCTCTGAAGGCTTTAGGGCAGGAGCCTCATGTGCCTCTTCCTAGCGGATGTGGTTGCTGGTGATTCTTGGCTTGTGGCAGCACAGCGCTCTGTCTCTGCGTTACATTGCCTCTTCGAGTCTGTGTTTCTAAATTTCCCTGTTCTCAGAAGGACACTAGTCATTGGATTAAGGCCCACTATGATCCTGTATGACCTCATCTCAACTTGATTACATCTGCAAAGACCCCATTTCCACCCACAAGTTCTGGTTGGATATGAATTTTGGGGGATGCTCTTCAACTCATTATGTTAGGTGACAAGAGGGTTATAATCACATGCGTATTTGCACATCCTGAGTTCCTGGTATTCCAGAGAACACACTGTGAGGAAGGCATGTAGAACATAGTACCTCTTGAAAATTTATGTTCTATCCTACCTGTATAGGGAGTCAAAGTGGGTAAGAGAGGAGCTTAATAATAAATGGGAACCATCCAGCAAGTGGTGTGGTTAGGGCACTGAATTCCCACATGGCTGACTACAGTTTCATTTCTGAATCTGGTGGTTTGCTTTCTCACTTTTTCCTCTCTGTCAAATTAAAAATAAAATAAAACTGTGGTTAGGGAATTAGCGTAATGGCTATGTCACTGGACTCCCATGTAGTTGACCGCGGTTCGCGTCCCGGACCCGGTGGCTTAAAACTCACGCTGGGCGCGTGTGCGTGCGTGCCCAAGATCCCAAGAGGAGAATGGAGGAGAAGGGATTGTGGCGTGACCATCCCCCCTGGGGGGTGATTTCTCGCTTTCTGTCTCTATGTCTCTCTCTGTCTGGCAAGCGCACGCGCCCTATAGCGAAAATCTCTCCAAAAAAAAAAAATAATTCTTAGAAAACATAAGTGGGAAGAATATTATTGTCATTGTCTTGCTTCTTATACTAAAGTGTGATTTCTCTGTATTTTTTAATCTCTTCCTCCTAGAGTTGTCTATATATTTGGTCCACCAGTAAAAGAACCTCCTACCGACGTGACTCCCACCTTCTTGACAACAGGAGTGCTCAGTACTTTACGCCAAGCTGATTTTGAGGCCCATAACATCCTCAGGGAGTCTGGTGAGTTTCTTATTTTGTTATCACTGCGTACTGTAGCTAGTTTTTGGAAGCTTGGCATTGTGACTTCTAGCAGAAGGTGTAGTTTTGGATTTTAGGTGCTTTCGTTTTTAGTATTTAACTCTGCGGATGGTTCCATGATACTGACTTCTCAGTAAACCTTCTGTGCCTTTGTGGCCATTTGCAGACAAGTGCAGCTTACCCAGACATTTGAGTTGGCTTACTCACATGACATCAGCTGAGGTCGAGCAGAGCCACGCTGCCTCCTTGCTTCAACTCTCACACTCTGAATAAGTGTCCTTTTCATGATCTACCCGGTGCTACGTTTGTTACACTTTCATGTATTTCATTGGCGATTTTGCTGTATAAAATGGCCCTTAAGCATTATACTGCAATGCCATCTGGGTTCCTAAGCATAGGAAGACTGTATTGTTTATATGTTATGGGAAAAAAAATCCATGTGTTAGCTCCATTCAAGCCTGGTCATGAGTTCAATACTCATAACTCTACAAGAAATATTTAATAAAGTGTCTTTAGACATAAACACATAAAGTAAGATTATGTATTGAGTAGTTGATGCAACTGTTGTGACCAGAGGCTTGCAGGATTTTAACCTTGTGCTTCCGCTAGGAGAAATAGTTCGACACTGAGTAATTCAGTGTTTGCAGTATGGGCGATAATCACCACGAACACCAAGACTGGACTCTCCCTCTGTCTCTGTATCACATCACTGTAGTGATCACATTCCGTTGTTTGCATTTGTGGTTTAGTTCGCTTACATGCTATGGGAGTAATTGAAGTCAGTGTACCTTAGTAATCTCAACTATGGTGTTTGTAAAAACTAAGTTTTGGTTTTGTTTGGGAAGATTTAACTGAGCTGGGTTAGAGTGCTTTTTCATGGTGTGGTGATTGGTTCTACATGGTCCTTTTTCTAGGGTATGCTGGGAAAATCAGCCAAATGCCTGTGATTTTGACCCCATTACATTTTGATCGGGACCCACTTCAGAAGCAGCCTTCATGCCAGAGATCTGTAGTTATTCGAACCTTTATTACTAGTGACTTCATGACTGGTATACCTGCAACTCCTGGCAATGAGATCCCTGTAGAGGTAATTTATGTACTTTTATCTAAGATATATTTTTAATACCTCGTATGTTTTATAATAGAGTAGATGAACTAGGCTATGACAATGTTGGGGTTGGTTTTCTGTGCATAAGATAAGCTCTTATTTTTAATCTCTGCATATTTGGCTGCTTATAGGTTGTCTGGAAAGTCACGACTTATTTTCCTATGTTTTTCTATACAAAAATGTGTCATGACTTTCCGGATCACACAATAATAGACTGTAACAGAAAAAGGCCTCAAATTTTATGTGTCCTCCAGTTGTCTGATTACTGTGTAAAAAAGTAACTGGCTATTGTCTAGTTTTATCTAATCTTTCCAACCTCTGCTTTGTGCATAGTATTCCCCAAGTAGAAAAGAAAACTAGCAGTGAAGAGTTTGTTAGAAATTATTATGAGATCTGATGACATTGTGGCCATGAATTGCCTAATGTTCTGCATCCTGTCAATCTCAGTTCCATTTTTGATTACCCATTTTGATTGCTCTAGCCTTTTCATCTCTCTACCATCATGTTCCAGAGGAGCCATTTACATAACAGCAAATTAAAATCAAAGTAGGTCGCCACAACACATTAATGTAAGGCTCTGCTTATAGCTAGGTGACTGGTGGGCATTGTGGCTTTGTCTCTGGTTTCCCTTCAGCTCAAATTCACTAAATCTCTGACTAGTCAAGCCACTGGGCTGGCCTTTCATCTTCGTGCTTAACAGTGATTTTACTAAGTACACTGTGTGTTATATAATTAAGCCACAGATGATTTGCAAAGCATTGGCATAAACACATAAAATCATATGCTTGGATGCCACATTGGTCAAATTGCTGTAAATGTGGGCAGTAACAACCTGCAGATTAGCACCTGTTTTTGGAACACAGTTTGAGCATGTTTAAGTCAGTAGTTTCTATTACAGAGTTTGTCTCATATAGGTACACTGTGTAAGATCAATCAGAGACCATCCCATATACATAGAGAACAATAGTGAAAATAGGTCACATTTTCATTTAAAGTTGAAATACAAGCCTTCTGAGGACTGTTGGACATGCAGTAGATCCTGGCTCTTCTAATTATAATTTTGGTATTTATAACAGGTGGTGTTAAAGATGGTCACTGAGATTAAGAAGATTCCTGGTATTTCTCGAATTATGTATGACTTAACATCAAAGCCCCCAGGAACTACTGAGTGGGAGTAATAAACTTCTTATGCTATTAAAGAACTGTGTGCAGTTTAAATTGATTAGAAACCATTCCCATTACTGACATGCAGTACTGTGAAAAGAGTTACTGGAGCAGCTACATCACATCTGAGTTCTCTTCAGCAAAAATCTACGACTTAAGAGCTGAGTTGGGGGTAACTAAAAGGGACTGAAGAATTTGTACGGGTAAATCAAAGCACCATTGCCTACACTCAGATCGACACTGCTTTTTGCCTTTGCCTCACTTGTTCTTTATGTATAAGTTCACCATTGCTATTGATATTCTGTCCATGAAGATATATGAAAGTGGGTTAATTGGGGCTCAGTAATGGGCTTCTGTCTCCTTACCAGTTTCTAAGAATAGTTAGAAACATCTTTTCCAGTATGACATAACTATGTAAACCTTTTGGAGAATCCGAGTTTTCTTTTTTATTAGCGACCTTATTTCTCCAAAGGGTGAGGGACAAATGAACCTATCAGATAAAGGGGTAGGTGGGCCGTCCCAGCCACTTTTGCAGGATACCAGGGCTATAAAACGTTAAGCTGTGTTAAGATGGCGAAGCACCAGGAATTTGTTGAAGTACTTCAGAATCTTATGATATCACACCCATGCGGGGAAGAAACTATGAGTGGCCTGAAATGTCTTATGAATGGTCCTATGTTTTCAAGCTGTATTACACAGATGCTATGTTACTGTCAGCTTGGTCATTAATAGCGAACTTTATCCTCCTAGCCTTGTGTTGCCAGCTCCCACAGCCATGTATACAAGTTTTCTGTTCTGTCCTCAGAAGAAACTGTCTAAGTGATGTCTGTCTAGCAGATAAGCCCTCAGGAGAGATTTCATCTTTTGTTTGGCTGGGCAGAGGGGCAGCCCTTATAGCCCAGAAGCCACTGTGGAGGCTCATAGCTTACAAATGATAGAGGAAAAGTATTAATATCTAGTAAAGAGTTGTATAGTGAACTCTTAGATCTAATCTATGGACAGCCCTATGACTTGGGTTTTAGAGAGTCTCAGTCTGTGCAAAGTATTTGCCAAACTTTATAACCCATTCTACTAGCTGTAAGAGGATTCAAGAAAGAATCCTCTTGAGAGGTGCAAGACTTACTGCCAAGGCCCTCAGTTTCCAACACATCCTTTATAATGTTCATATGAGCCCTGCAAAATAAATAGTAGTAGACTTAATTTCTCTCAGTATTTTAGCTAAGAATGCTATCCTGGTTTTGTTTTTTGTTTTAACCAATTCCACCTCAGGTTGCTGCTTCTTACCTAGCTTAAAAAGTGTTTTCTGGGACCGGCAGATGGCTTAATGGTTATGTTGCTGGACTCCCACATGGCTGACTGTGGTTCGAGTCCCGGACGTGGGGGTTTGAAACTCACACTGGGCACGTGTGCGTGTGTGCCTAAAGTTTCAAGAGGAGAATGGAGAAGGGATTGCGGCATGGCCATCCCTCCTGGGGGGGGGGGTGATTTCTCGCTTTCTGTCTCTGTCTCTCTCTCTGTGTCTCTGGTGAGTGTACACTCACCAGATAAAGATCTCTCTTAAAAAGTGTTTGCTATTAATTAAGTGCATGTTTATTTTTTATTCAGTGTTAGATCAACAACAAAATGATGCATAGCGGAAGTCACCTTTTCATTCTGACTGGACCAGAAGAAAACCATGGCTGGATCAGCCAGATAAGAGCTTCTGTCTCTTGTGATATTGGGTTGTCAGGAAAGTCATGACACATCTGTGCATAGGAAAACAGAGAAGTACGTCATGACTTTCCCGATGACTTAATAGATATCTGTACCCAAGACAAAGGGATATTTGACTTCTGCAAAACTCGAAGGGTTCATTCTCTGCCTTGAGGAGGAGGCACTCACAATGGCCTTCTGGAAAGGAGATATGTTAGTGACTTGGTCTTAACAGATTCAGAGTCCTATTATTATAGAGCTAGACTAGACAACTTATGAAATGCTTACCAATGTGTGTCCGTGCACATTTATTTTATGTGAAAAAAACTTCTGTTTTAGCAAAAGTGTCTTAGGGTTTTGTATTAAAGCAAACTGTACTCTAGGAAAAAATACAGTAATTTTTTTCTCCCTCTGAAGTATGTCCTGTGGAATATTGCTGCACCGAGACGGCTCATTTAAAAAGGATTAGCAGTTATGTGAATTCGGAAGGTGCCACATGTTTGTCCTTTATCTTGTATCCATTACGTTCGACGTTCAAAGTTCTGAGAAATTTTGAAGTTGGAAAACAGTTGTTAAACTTCGTTTAACCTAGTGTGTTCATGATAGTTGTCCGTTAAACACCTTTTTATATAACCCTTCTTAATCCTGGGAAAACTATTTCTCCAAAATACCTTGACATGATACAGTTTTTTAAAATGTAAGTTTCCTGGGATTCAGGAATGTCCTAGTGCCGAGTACCAGCCCGCCCTTGCCCAGCACGCTTCACTCTCCGCTGTCCAGCGTACTCTGCACCTTCGCGGTCTCTCATCTGTGCCACCCAGAGAAGGTAAGGTGGAGGTCCCATTTTACAGTCAGGGAAACCAGCTCAGCTTAAGATTGGCTACCGAATGAGTTCCAGAATTTAATTTCAGGTTTCCTTAGTCTCAGTTGTCCTTTCAGTAAATGTATTCTGGCAACTGAAGTATATAAACTTACAGGATGGTTACTTTTGACAAAGAACAGAATGTTGGCTACTTGGCTGATAACATTTGTCATGGGTTCTCCTAAGCAGATCATGACTTGATGCCCATCACTTACCTCCAAGAAATAATTTATTTCTTTGTACCTGTCAGATAAAGAGAGAAAGGCAAAGCAGTGAAAGCATAATTTACTCTTAAAATTATCAGGCACAAAAGAATTTTCAAGAACCAAATCCCCAGTTCTGCCTTATATTAGGCCCCATCTGTGATCATCAGCTCTGTTAGAAATAACACTTAGCCTGGCATAATATCTGAGGTCTTAGATATTACCACGGGGTAGAGTTACCTTGTTTTCTAGTCTTTTTTTTTAATCCTTAAGCTGAGATAGCTCTATGTGTATAGCCAAGTAAGCATCATAAAAGTGTGTTTTCTTGCTCTGTTTGGACATAACTTCCTGACTATAAAACAGAATCTTACTTCTAGTGAACGAGGGCATTTATTAGGTTGTTGGGAAAAATCGTGGTGCATTTTTGCACAGGAAAACAGAAAAATACGTCATGACTTTCCTAACCTAATTGATTCGGTAGGCAGGACTATCCATTGGCCAGAACATAACAACGGTGTGAACTTAGTCATTTCCATTTCTTTAACTAAGATGAGGCAACTAGATTAAATTTACACTCTCATATCTAACCCTGAAATATTACTAGTTTCAATAACTAGAAAAGCATGCCGGTAGACTGGAGCAACTGATAGTTCTGCCTTTTTTTTTTTTTTTTTTTAAGTTCTCTTAATAAACATGACTCAAAGATAACATCAAGATGCATTGTAAATCAAATATTAATTGTCTTTTTTGAAGCTGTATTATGAATCAGTAAGGTTTGATCGCTTGAGCTGCTGCTGCTGAGAGAGGACGCTTGAGACATACCCATCAGAATGTTCCCAGTGGCAGTCTCTTCACTGTTTTGGGAGCAGCTGACAGTGAATATGTTTCTGCTTTGAGACCAGTAAAGAGTCTCCTGTTATTTATATGCAGCTGATTGTTGGCAGAGCTGGAATTAGAATCTAGGCTTTCTGGTTCTCTACATTGAAGAGGTAATGTGCTAAGCCCTCTGAGACAAGACTTAAAAGGAAGGTCTCTGTGTGTCATTGCCCATCAGTGATAAACATACATGGGTACTTTGAATGTTCATGGAAAAATAGAATTAAAATACGAGTTTATTTTGTTGGAGAAAGTTTTTGAAATCCATGCGTAGTTCTTTTATAATATGCATTTTCCATGAACTTTTGAAGACCACTTGTACTTGCAAAGTGTTAATCTCCTTATAATAAATGACTTTATGCAGATAGCACTGTCTCCCAGAATTTCTTCTGACATCCTCATGCAGTGTTAATAACCCTCCTCTTTCCCACCTTTTCACACCACTTTCCATTACTCCAAAAAACACTCCAGAATTCACATGTGAAAGTGGTGAGGGCACACCAGCCTCTACTGTTACCTCAGTGGATACTCCTTTTATTGGCCCAAATCCAGAACGTAATGGAACTGAATACAGGATGGATGGAAAGTGTCCCTTTTGCCCTTCCTGAGGTAGGTTAGCCATACTGGTGCTAGAGGGAAGCGGGGTGTCTTTTGGTTATAAACTCTCTAGGGCTTTGACAGTTCAGGGGCATTGTTGGCAATGCTTTTCTTGAACGTTTTATTTAATAACTGATGAGTTGATTTGGAATCCCCCAAAATACCAAGATGCCACCTCCTAACCTCAACCTTTTATACTGAGGCGGCCCAGGTATCCTACTGTCCTCTGACCTTTTTGTCAACAGTGCTCAACCCTGGATGCTTTTGACTACTATCTGTGGACTTAAAAAAATACAGTGTTTCCGTTAAATAAAATTAGAATCAGAGTGGAGCCCAAGCATTTACTGTTTTAAATCTCCCATCCAGAATAAATTGTGGTGAGGAGCATGCCTTTCCTATCTAGTTATGGCTTAAAACCTTAGTCAAAACTGTCAGTAAGGAATGTAGGCCACAGAGACTGCCTTGCTGAAGGTCTCATACCTAAATTAGTTCACACCCAGGGACCAGATTCTGAATTTGTTTCTACTATAATATACTCAAAGGGCCTGTGTGGTGTTACTTAGAAAGCTATCAGGCCAGCCAGGTAGCATGGTGGTTAAGGTGGCTAGATTCCCAAATGGCTGACTGTGCAGAGGCTCGAAAAACATACTGAGCGTGTGCATGTATGCCCTAGAACCTGAGAGCTGAGTGAAGGAGAAGGGATTATGGTGTGGTCATTCCTCCCCGCGGGGTGCTTTCTCATTTTTCTGTCTCTGTCCTCTCTCTCTCTCTCTCTGGCAAGTGTACACACCCTATAGCAAACTAA